GCCGCGCCCGGCCCCGCGCCGCGCCCCGCTCCCCGCGTCGGCGCCGTCCTCCCGCCTCCTCCTTCTCCAGAAAAAGTCGCCATTTTGGTTCACTGCCTTCGCCCCCCCGCGGTCGGCGCTTCCGGGCCCGGGCTGCAGCCCGTGTCCGGCCTCAGGTGACAGGTGGGTGGCCACGGGCCTTCAGGTGCTCGTCTTGGCAGCGCTCGCCAGACCAGGAGAGTGGCCTGAGTCCGCGGCGGCGCCCCCTTCCCCGGAGGCTATAAGCGAGATCCTGGGGACCCCAGGTGGTGGAGGGATTTTCCTTCTACTCTGGCGACCACCATGCCTTACCCCTAACTCTGATCTCTGACCAGATTGGAAGGGTGCAGCAGGCCCTTTGCCCCTGGCCGCAAATGTTACCAGGATTCTGGATGACTCGTTTCTTTCTGAAGCTACAAAACGAGAACACCCAGAGAACTTGTTGGTTTAAGACCCTCCCCTCCTTCCCCTAGGCCCAGTATGGGTGTTGCCTTTGGCAGTGGACAGTGGCTGACCTGACGTCTAACCTGAGCGCTCCCGGATATAGCAGCGCCTACATATCCCCTCTGATTTGAGTTGGTCACAAACTGTCAGGAGAGGGTTCCCCTGCTTGAACCTTGCTCTTTGGTACCGCCCCCTTCTGTGGTTTTGGGTACCTCTGAGAGGCCTCCACATAACTATGGTCAGAGCCCCCCTCAGTTTTCAGGGTATGAGATGTCCCAAGCAGAAAAGGTCCCTGAACCTCACACCCCCCCACCCCCAGCATGCTCTGTGCTTCAGCCTGGCAGGCTCTGAAGCTTGGGCCAGTATTGGCTATAACTTGTTTAGCCGAAGTGGGCAACTAGGCAAGTAATCTCGAAGTTATTGAGAATAGCAAGCAATGGTGGCCTGCTAGCCTGTGGTGGCTCAGAGTCCGAACCAGTGCCTCCATCTGGGTGGAGGGGCTCTGATTACACAGAAGGCTGAGAAGACAGGCAGGTAGGATGGCTCAGCAAGCATGGGGACCAAAATGGAGTTCCAGTGGGTCTTCACTTTGCCCACCAGAGAGATGGGTGCATGTGGTGGGGAAGCAGGCCTTCAACTCTCACGTTGGCTGTCTTCTGTGTCCATAGAGAGGTCTTTAAGGGTGCTCATCTGGGTAAGTTAGTATCACATATCTGGAGGGGCAGAGGCCAGGGCCCTAAGGAGAAGGTGTCCCTGAGGCATCATGGCATGGCTGCTTTTGAATTAATTGTCCCCCAAGAGGGATATTATCAGTCTCCTTCCTATTGCACAGTCCCTTTCTGAACACAAGCCCCACCTGATCCTTTGCACACTGTGGTACCATGTGTCTAGATGATGGTGAGATGAGTGTGTCAAATATAGCAAAGAGTCTCAGCTCTTTCCACACTGCTCATGCCTTGTCAGTTATTTAAACAGATCTTGTCTGTGCAGACCCCCTTCCTTGAGTTAGAAGCCCCGATTACATCCTTTTTGATGGGGTAGAGAGGCCTATTGTGGGCCTCAAGGATAGTTCCAATGAAAGCCCTGAGTTAGACCCATTTAGCTCATAGGTCTGTGCACTTGCTCTATAGAGATGACTGAATCCTTCTGTGTTGGAGGAGGCCGCCGGCTTCAAGGGTCCAACAAAAGTGGATCTGGAAAGAGTGGCAGCCGGAAGGATGTCCAGCTTCCCATATTGCAAGACCCACCAAAGCTGGGTAAGGAGCCATGGCAGAAATCAATTCTAGAGGGTACAGATAGCCAGTGGTAGAGTAGGCTACCTCCTTGGATATCCTGAGGACTTTCTTGGGGTGGATATTGTTAGCCTGAGTCTTAAACTCTTGTCCTAGGTACCTTGGGCCTTGGTATGGGTAAGCCAAGACTCAGTCTGGACTTGCTGCCCCATGGGAGGTGGTGGTGTTATGTATCCACTGGGCCTTGCTCTCTCCTGTGCTGTAGGTATGCCAGTGGTTCACAGTGGACATACAGTGCCTAGCCAGGCCTCACTCTGCTTTGACCCCGGAAACCCAGCCAGTGACAGGACAGAAGGGAAGAAAAAAGGGAGGCCGAAAGCCGAGAATCAGGCTCTCCGAGATATTCCTGTGAGCTCCCTGAGGGTGGGGCTGGGAGGTGCTGCTCATACTATTCAGCCTGTGAAGGCCACTGCCCTGCCCTTACCTACCCACAATACATCCTGTGCCAGCTTGTTTCAGCATGAGGCCAAGGGCCCTTGCATCTGACCCATATAAGGCCCCAGTGGGCTATGTTAGTAGCCTGCAGCATGGTTGAATACTTGATCTGCTCTTGAGGTTTAAAGGGTTTGGTTTGGGGGCCCTTTGAATCTGGGTAGCTGCAAATCAGCAGTTTGACCTTTTCCTCTATCCAGTTCTCCCTGATGAACCAATGGAAAGATGAATTCAAGGCACACTCAAGAGTGAAGTGTCCAAACTCAGGGTGCTGGCTAGAGTTCCCCAGCATCTACGGGCTCAAGTACCACTATCAGCGGTGCCAAGGGGTAAGGGGCTGTGGGTCGGGGAAGAGGAGGCCTGGGAGTGCATCTGGGCAGAGGCCCCCGGGGCCCCATCCCACACCTGCCCTCCCTGCCCAGGGCGCTATCTCAGATAGGCTGGCCTTCCCTTGCCCCTTCTGCGAGGCCGCATTCACCTCCAAGACCCAGCTGGAGAAGCACCGGATTTGGAATCACATGGACCATCCTCTGCCTACCCCCAAGCCTGGCCCGGTCAGCCGGCCAGTCACCATCAACCGGCCTGTTGGGGTCAGCAAGCCCATCGGAGTGAGCAAACCTGTTACTGTTGGCAAACCAGTGGGAGTCAGCAAACCCATTGGCATCAGTAAGCCTGTCACAGTCAGCAGGCCTATGCCAGTCACTAAGCCTGTCACAGTCAGTAGGCCCATGCCAGTGTCTAGGCCTGTGCCAGTCACCAAACCCATCCCAATCACCAAACCTGTGCCACTCACCAAACACATGCCCGTCACCAAGCTTGTGACAGTTACAAAACCTGTGCCACTCACCAAGCCAGTACCAGTCAGCAGGCCCATTGTGGTCAGCAAGCCAGTGCCGGTCAGCAGGCCCATTGCCATCAGCAGACACACACCACCCTGCAAAATGGTATTGCTGACCAAATCTGAGAACAAAACACCTCGTGCTACAGGCAAGAACAGCAATAAGAAAAGGTACAGGAAGTTATTTGGGGTGGTAAGTTGTCAGATGTGCCTCGGGGGGAGGGGGTGAGAGGGCCACTGCATTTGCCTGGACCTCACCTTAACCTACACTTGCAGGGCTGCAGACAGTTTGGACACCTGCCCCATCCTGCCAAAGCAGGCAAGGCCAGAGAATGGAGAGTATGGCCCATCCACCATGGGCCAAAGTGTGACTTTTCAGCTGGGTACAGATCCTAGCAACAGCTCCCTACTGCCAGGAAGCAGGCCCTTGATGAGCAAAGAGGCACTGCGGCCTGCAGACCCAGCATCCCAGCCAGAGGAGGACCCCGAGCGCACAAAGCACAGTAAGAAAAGAGTACTGGGAGACTGGCCATGGTGGGCTCTGGCCTTTCAATAGTTATGTGACCAGAATCTTGGTACTCATTTTCTCTCCCCTGAGTCAGGAAGGAAACAGAAAACACCTAAGAAATTCACAGGGGAGCAGCCATCTATCTCAGGGACCTTTGGGCTCAAAGGTAAGACCCCAGCCAGCTGGAGACCTCTGAGACTGAGTATGCTGGTATTTAGCCCATATGTCTTATTCACATTGTGTGTGCCTACAGGCCTGGCCAAAGCTGAAGACAAGGCCCGAGTTCATCGCTCCAAGAAACAAGAAGGATCAGGCTCCGAGGAAGTTCGGAAGAAGGTGCTGGCCACCCCTGTCACTGTCAGCAAGGAGGCTCCAGCTCCTGTGGCCCACCCAGCCCCAGGTGGGGGCTGCCTGGCAGGACCCAGGACAGGTCTCCATGGTGGGCTGGATCCTGTAGCAAAGGCATGGGGGCTGCTCCTGGAGTCCAGGTCATTCAGGAGCCCCACAAGCCTGAGGCCTGGCCCTGCCTCACAGGTGGCCCTGAGGAGCAGTGGCAGCGAGCCATCCATGAACGGGGGGAGGCTGTCTGCCCCACCTGCAACGTGGTTACCCGGAAGACCCTCGTGGGGCTCAAAAAGCATATGGAAGTATGTCATAAGGTAAGCCTTCTGCCCCTACCCCTACCCCCTAAGGTACTGGGAGGGAAGATCCCCTGACTTTGATGGGTTTCTCATAGTTAGGCCATGTCTACAGTTGCAGGAAGCACTGAAATGCCAGCACTGCCGGAAACAGTTCAAGTCCAAGGCTGGCCTCAACTACCATACCATGGCTGAACACAGTGCCAAGGTATGTTGCCTGACCCCTAGCTCCCTGTCTATCCCTGACTGCTGACCTCTCATTCCACCACTGCTCCTCTATGCTTGATTTTGGATCTGTGGCCCTAACTCCTGGCTGGCATCAGGTCTGAGGCTTGCTCTGTCTCCAGCCCACTGATGCTGAGGCCTCTGAAGGGGGAGAACAGGAGGAGCGAGAAAGGCTTCGAAAGGTGCTGAAGCAGATGGGACGGCTACGCTGCCCTCAAGAGGTCTGTCTTGGATCATGTGGGAGAGTTGAGGACTTGGGTACTTGGATGATTGCTTACCTGGTCTCTGAGTCTCTGACCTGGATCCCCAGGGCTGTGGAGCCGCCTTCTCCAGCCTCATGGGTTATCAGTACCACCAGCGGCGCTGTGGGAAGCCACCATGTGAGGTAGACAGTCCCTCCTTCCCCTGTACCCACTGTGGCAAGACTTACCGATCCAAGGCTGGCCATGACTACCATGTGCGTTCAGAGCACACAGCCCCGGTGAGTGGCTTATAATCCACCATGTCCTTGCTCTAATGGCCTATAATGTGTCATGCTTGTGTTTGTGAGTTCATGTGCTCCCTGGTAGGTGTAATCTCTGCCTTTAGTGATCTTAAGGCTTTTTTTTTTTTTTTTCTCAGTATTGGTTTGGAGGCTGTCCTGGAACTCACTCTGTAGACCAGGCTGGCCTCGAACTCGCAGAGATCCGCCTGCCTCTGCCTCCCAAGTGCTGGGATTAAAGGCGTGAGCCACCAACGCCCAGTAATCTTAAGTCTGTGTGTCCTGAGAGGACAGATGGGAGCCTGGTGCTCCAGTGTCTTGTTTTTCTTGTGTCTACTAGATCTCCCACCACTTGTACGCATCCTGGGTCTCCCAATACCTGCAGAGACCACAAATGGCCTACAACTCATGCCAACTCTAACTCCTGGTCTCTGGATGTCTTTCTTCTCCATGGCTTATATTGGCCTCTGTGTGTCCTTGCTATCTACTTGCTATCTAGCCCCCTGAGGAGCCCACCGACAAGATCCCCGAGGCTGAGGACCTGCTTGGAGTAGAACGGACTCCAAGTGGTCGCATCCGTCGCACATCGGCCCAGGTTGCCGTGTTCCATCTACAGGAGATTGCAGAAGATGAACTAGCCCGTGACTGGACCAAACGGCGCATGAAGGATGATCTTGTGCCTGAGACTGCAAGGGTGAGTGGCCCACCTAAGGGATGGGCAGGATCTTGGCCCTTGGTCATTCCCTAATTGCTCCCCCAACTTCTTGGTCTCTGACCAGGACAGGCCTCATTTGATTCCCCTGTGGCAGCCATGTTCTTGTGACCTTGGCCATCTACTAACCCCGTCTGTGAAGGGGCAATGAGCCTGCTGCAGATGCACATGCAATGTGTCAGAGCAGCATGTGCCTAAGCCTGAAGCTCACCTGGTGCTGTGCCTGGCTTTGCAGCTCAACTACACTCGGCCAGGCCTCCCTACACTTAATCCCCAGCTGCTGGAGGCATGGAAGAATGAAGTCAAGGAGAAAGGCCATGTGAACTGTCCCAATGATGTAAGCCGGGACCAGCATATAATGGGAGTGGGGTATTGGGGCTCCAGGATAAAGGGCTCAGGTTTGGCCCTTCAGGCAACAGTAGAGATTAAGACAGTGAATGTCCTATTGGGAAGTAACCATCTTTAGTGTGACCAGCCTATCTCTGACCCTGGGTTCCTGTAGAGTCTTCACATAGATATCATGTCAACAAAAGGGACTTCAACCTGGGGACCCATCTACCCACCCTGCCCAAAATCCAAGGCTCCAGGGACCTGCTCTCAGAGAAGCCCCAGAATGCTCTGGGGTTGAGGGTGGGGTGCCCCTTGTGTGGAGTTGTGGGAGGGCTTCCCCCACAGCTGTCTCCTGCCTGCAGTGCTGTGAAGCCATCTACTCCAGTGTGTCTGGCCTCAAGGCCCATCTTGCCAGCTGCAGCAAGGTCAGTTCTGGTTCTTGGATTATCCCCATGGTTGGGTGGGACACTGAGTACTCCCAGCTTTCTCGTGCCAAGGGTTTACCTATACAGGTGTAAGACCCCCTACCCTGTCCACTGCATCTCAGAGACTAGTAGGTACTCAACAGGTGGCCCAGAATCCCTCTCTGTTCCCTATACTAGTCATTTAGTTCCAAATCCTTCCCTGGATCTCCTTATCTTTTGTGATATAAGTGTTCATCCTGACCTGAGCAGAGGGCACACTTGGCTTGAGGTGAGGACATTCACCAAAGGACTATGACCTATCCCTGTACCACCTGCCTCATCCCACTCTTCTCTTACTTCCTACTCCTTTGGCAGTGATGGCTTAATAATCCTATTGCACACATCCTAAAAGACAGTGCAGCTTCTCTCTGGCTGACCCTAGTCCTAACCTTTTAGCAGCAGGATAAGGGCTTGGACCAGATGTGGGTGCTTTGAATCTTCCGAAGGTTGGGTACTGGACCACTGTGCATTGCAGGGGGACCACCTGGTGGGGAAATACCACTGCCTGCTATGTCCCAAAGAGTTCAGCTCTGAGAGCGGTGTCAAGTACCACATCCTTAAGACCCATGCAGAGGTATGAGAGTTATCTTCTGGGCTTGCAGGCCTGGAGACTGGCCTTAGGGATGGGTGGTAGAAAACAGGTGGCTCAGATGGTGTACACTGAGAAATCTGGTGTTATCTTCTCAAAATACAGTTCACTTCCCCTGAAGTGTCCAGAGCATGGGGTGATAAATCTTGAAAAAACAAAAAAAGAAAAAAGAATAGTCTGGTGGTGCCCCATCTTGGTACCTGACCCCTGAGTGGAGCCTCCCAAAGCAGGGGAAACCCTTGTCTTCAGCTACTCCCTAGCAGTTGCATGTCTGACCGAAAAATAGTTTAGGTGGGTTGGAAAAATGCATCAGTGGTTAAGAGTACTTCCTGCTCTTCTAGATGACAAAAGTTTGTTTCCTAGCACCTTTGTCAAAAGACTCAAAATTGTCTGTAGCTCTAGCTCCCTAGCCTCCATAGGCACCTGCACTCACATGCACATCCAGACACATACACCAAAAATAAAGAAATAAGTAAAAAATTTTAAAAACTAATGAAAAAAAAAAGAGTTAGGTCTGTAGCTTTGGATCAAGGTTCCCAGTCTTGATTGCAAGTTTTCCCTCCCTAGAATTGGTTCCGGACCTCAGCTGATCCACCTCCCAAACACAAGAGCCAGGACTCCGTGATGCCTAGGAAAGAGAAGAAGAAAAGTCTATCAGGAGGAAAGAAGCGGGGCCGCAAACCCAAGGAACGGTCCTCTGAGGAGCCAGCATCTAAGCTGCCACCTAACAGGGATGACTGGCCCCCGGGAGGCAGAGACAGGGGGACCCGAGGCTCCACTGGGAGGAAGGCTGGAGCTGGGAAGGCACCTGAAAAGTGAGCCTGGTGGACAGGGCCTAGCCACCATGCCCAGCTTTGTTGAGATTAGGGGAACCAGTTCCAGACTTGTCCTCCACCTCCACACACACACACCCATCTGTCCAGAGGTTGGCAAACCACTCTGATCTCCCTGAAAGTGGTCCTTCCCCTGTTTAGGTTGCCTCACGTGGCTAGGTGGGGCTCCCCAGGAGGGCCAGGGGCAGTAGCAAAAGTGCAATAGGCTGGGGAGGGGGGTCCCAGCCATCCCTACAAGGACATTCTTGGACCTGGCAGAATCTAGAGTCTTGGCACCATGGGGCACAAAGTGTGCTTGAACAGCCAAATGGCCCCTATCTCCTCCCTCTGGCCCAGTAGGGTTCCCATTCTGACTCCCTTAAGGCTCAGACATTCCTGGTGACCCATGGGCTGATGAGGCACATGAGCAGCCTGGCTGCCATCACTTAGGCCTCACCTCCACCCAACACTGGATCTCCAGTACTCCCAGCTACCTCCCAGGACAGACCCTGTCTAGCTACTGCCATGCTGCCCTGACAGCCACCACCCATCTGTCTTCTTGTATCCATTTATGACCCCCTTGCTTCTGTTTTCTACCTCTCTGGGCCTGCTCCTCTCCTCTGTCATCCCTGCTGTGCTTCAGGCCTCACCCCATTGACTGGTGTGGTCATGGTGGAGTATGTAGCCTTCCAGGCAAGGAAAGAACTTTGTGTGTTCTACCTTTAGGGAGGTCCAGACCCATAGCTACCAACCTGAGAGCAAAGGACCAGAATGCTCCACCTCCAGCCTTCAGTTTCTGATCTTGTTGGCACCCTGAGGGATGCCTCCCTCTGGCCACAGCCATGTAAAGTAGAGGCTGGCCAGAAGGAGCCTCTAGTCCAGGAGTAGCGCCTATGAGAGACAGCTTATGTCTACCATGCTAAGTGGGCCCATAAGCCAAGTTCTGTGGAAGCCCTCTTTTTTCCCCACTACTTCATCTGTCCTCAGTGTCTAGTGGCAATCAGTCATTTGATACAGAAATTGAAGGATAGTGAAAAGATGGGGTCTCAGCCAGTGTAGCAGCTCTAGGCTGAGCCCCACCCTTTTAGGGGCCCTGAGGATAACAGGGTCTGCAGGTTGGGCAAGGCCTGGAAGAGAGATCTGGCCTCCTTCCTGGTCATACCCACCCCTCTGAACCACACTGGAAGAAGGCTGAAAGGGGTGAGAACAGTTTTTTCCAGTGTGGGTAGGGGTGGACTGAGGCCTCTGCTTCTGATCCTGGACGATGTGAATTTTGATATTTGCTTGTGTGTGTCCTGGATGTTGTTGATGCCAGTCTTGTTGCTGTGACAAGTAGCAACCTTTTTTAAATTTTTTTTACATATATATATAGATATATAAAACTCAACAATTTTATGTTTTGGTGCTAAGGGTTTCCTGGTGCCGAAGGTAGAGCTGGGCTGTAGTACTGACTGGCACCTGACCCCCAACCTCAAGGGGGAGGGGTTCCCAGGAGATTTGGGATGGAGTCCTTGTACACTCCTGTCTAGGATGGTTCTGACTCTGGGCAACCCTGGCATTATATGCTGGAGGTGTTGAATGAACAAATAAACTCTTCAATTCCTACACACCTTTGACATGATCAGAAGGTGGCCACAGAGGTGGGTAAGATCCAGTGTCAAAAGTTCAAAGGGTAGCCTGGGACTTTTGGGTGGTGGTGTGCAATTGTGGAAGGGAATGGGGCCCCAAGTGCACTTTCAAAACACCTCTGTGGGGTGTGACCATCCACCCCAGCCTCTCAGGTACTTAGCACTTGTCAGAAGAAGGGCCTAGGTTTGCTGGGGGTTGAGTTTCCAGGACATGCCTCAAGGCCCAGATGTAGGCCTTGATATGGGACTTGGGGTTCTATTACTTGATGTTCAGCACTTTAACTCCTTTGTCTTTGAAATGGGTGTGGGGGCAGCTGTCAAAAGTGGCAGTTGGATAGGTGGTGGCTGGTAAGGGGTTTTGGCAAGCTAGTTTGTAAAGCTCTTCTAAGGTGGTAAGGCCCTCCCTGGGCAGGGTTCATCAGTCTGCCCACCTCCCTATTCTGGCCCAAAGGTGACCACCAGCCTATACAGACCCTCTTAAGAGGGACCATCATGGCAGGTCTCCAGGAGGGGTGGACTTGGCCCAAACAAACCCTGGGTCCTTGGCAAAATGCAAAAGTCAGGGTCTCTACAGATCTACCTCTGGCTCAGCGCTTGCCCTGCCCTAAAAATACCAGAGAAGTGCCAAGGGCAGACATTTCATGCAGAACCAGGGTGCACTTTATGTTCCTGCACAGGCAGATTTTGGGGCCTTCCTGTCCTTCCTGTCCCTATGGTGGTTCTGAGGGGAGAGTTGTTTCTGTGTTTCCCTGTTGGGTGGAACACGGGCCTTTTGCCCTGGAGACCTGGTTTCCCAGGTCACCCCTCATACCTGACTGCAGCGCCTCCTAAACTTTGGGTTCCTCGGTTTTGTTTTAATGCAGTTCTCATTACACAAGTGCATTTCTGGCTATCACTTGTAACCATAGATATACATGCATATATATTCTATCTACAAAGTGTTTTATTTGCAAGATGTTTTGAGGTGAGCTTGGGTCCTGCCCGCCTTGTGATCATCTGTCCCCATCTTCATCCCCTGGCCCGGAGTGGTGCGGTGGTGGGCCATCAACTGTATGTATTAAAATTACTGTATCAAATAAATGTTTATTGATTTTTTCCCCCCAGGGCTTTTGTGCGGCTGAGTTTGTGTTGGGGGCGGGCCCTTCCCTAGGTTTGCCGCACAGCCTTGTGGGGCTCGTAGTCCGCAGCGTGCCAGACTCCCGGCGCGCCTACTCAGCCTCCCCCAGGTTCGGGAAGCCATGGCTGCGCCGCCTGTTTCTGCAGACACTTCCCCTTCGCCCCTACCATCCACTGTGGCCCCAGACGTGCCTGGCCGCCCGGCCGAGCAGAGTGAGACCGCGTGTGAGGACCGGTAGGCGCGGGCCTGGATAAGGCAGAGGCCGCGCTCGCCTCTTGGGAGGGGTCAGCGCACGGCTTGCGTTCCCTTCCTAAAGCCCGGGTGGCTCCGCGGCTAGGGCAGCTAGGTCTCCTCAGCCGCGTGGATTCTTGATTTCGGCAGTTCTCCAGAGCCCTGGGGCCTCCTGAGCCATGTGTAGGCAACTCCCTGCCAGGGAGAGGGAGGTGGCAGGTGGCCTGAAGGGCCGCAGCGGACGGAAGGCGGAACTTGCCCAAGTCCTTAGTTTTTGGAGGCGCGGAGAGTGGAAACCTGTTTGACCTGTGTGGCCTGGGTTTCTGTCCCTAGCGATTGCACACTTGGCTCTAGGCTCCCAGGTGGGTGGTGGGCGTGCTCGACCTTCTTACTTCGTCGAATTTGATCTCACCATCTCCTACCCACCTGGCGGCCAGTGGTAATTGTGAATGTTGGGTGAGGTGGTGATCACCTGCCCGAGAGTTTGCGGACCCTTCCGAGGCATTCAGGACCTTTGAGAGGGCTCCGCCTGATCATCCCGAGTAGCAACTCCAGGCCACGGCCGACAGGGGGCGGTGGCCGCACTTGGAACTGTATGTGGCCCCTCTTCCGGTCTGATTGAACCAGTTGAAGGCCAGATATCTTCCGGCCGCAGAGCACTGCTTGGGGAACTGTGAGCCCAGACGATTTTGGGATGGCAGGTGTTGGAGGTGGATGAGGCAAATCGCGGCTAGTTCACACAGTCCAAGACATTCTAACTGGTAGCCTGAAAAACTTGGTTGGGTCTAACAAGGATGAGTTTCTGATGCTTTCTAGTTCAGAAGGTCTCGATATAACCAGAAGCAAAGAGATCATGGTCACATACTTCCAGGGATTCCCGAGGAAACACCCTGAGAAGATACAGACTGTGCTGGTGCCTCAGGCACTGGCAGCAGTAGGAGAGGGAGTGGCTGGTAGGCCTTGTCCAGCTTGAGGTTTCTCCTACTGCTTTTCCTAGCACCTGTCCCCTTATCTGCCCACCCTCGATGCTTTTTCCTTGGAGTCTCCTGACCTTAGCTGGTACAACCAGTAGCTTTTGTGTCAATATACAAAATGGATATTGGGCTGAGATTATAGAGAGTGAACAGAATCTAATGGTGCCCACCTAGAGCCTTGGGATGCAGGTGGAGGTGTGTGAGTGAAGGAGTTACAGTGTGGCAAGTGAGCCACTGGAAGCCTCTAGTCTCCCAGTCCTGTGTCTACCTTGTGAACTTTGCCTCGGTGACTGTCTCTGAACCATCCCCTTCCCCTTGCAGATCTTCCATAGAAGCAGTCAGAAGGTAACTTGACTGTAGATCTAGTGACAGCAGAGGGACCTTGAGACCTTTCTTAGTCCTTTGGTGGTCCAAGCGATGAGCCTGCCTCCTTTCAGACCCTGCTGTAGACATTCGATTCTAGTTTCTCTGACAGAGGGGAATGCAAATTACAGGGCAGCTCTACTTCCATGATGTTATCACATGTAGGTTCCTTATCAGTGAGGCACCTGCTGAGGTCCTCAGTAACCCTATTTCCTGAGCTTCACTCCCACCAAGTGATGGCATCTGAGCCACAGTTGACAGAGCCATCACCTGGTGGTTAGCCAGAGGGGAATGAAGACTGAGTAGCAGCTTCCAGCACCACCTACCTCAGACAGCCCTGAGACCTAAAATGGAGGCCTAAAAGGAGGAAACTTAGGGGCCAGAGTTATTGGCCAGGTAGCCTGGTATATCCCAGGTTAAGATGAAGTTCAGGAGTCAGGGTCTGATGTTCTGGGGCCAAGGTTAGTGAATCAATAGGTGGTGAAGGTCTATTAACTGTAACCTGCAATTAGGTCTTCCCATTCTGAGATCAGCACAAACCTGTGGCCTGCTTCTCTACCCATTGATCCTGACTTGATAGGGTACTCAAAGAACATGTCAGGATCCTCTGTTGTGATCAGCCAGGCAAATTTGTGAACTGATTCCCTAGGACCCCTTGACTCTGCATCCATGCCCAGAACAACTTTAGCCTCCCAGAGAAATCCTAGAGCATATCCAGCCAATCACCTGAGAGTGGAGGCAGAGGGACAAACCTTAAACACATACATGTACATGTAAACATAGATAAGCTCTTCCTGTTCCAGGTGTCTAGTAGTGATGTAGACATATTCATGAGTTACCTAGGTAGTGAGAAGAGCTGCTTCCAAGGCGCTCCCAGAGTGGCTCCTCTTCAGGTGTGTGAAGTCCATTTGGAAGCTTCCTTTTTTCTGAGCACCTGCCAGACTGTCTTTGTGCTGGAAGTCAGCCAGGTAGGATGAGGTTGCAGTAAGGCCAACCCACCCCTGGAAGGGAACCCCAAGGCCAGTAGAACCTCTCTGATTAGAGCTTAAGCCAGTAAAGAGATTTCAGCTGAGGCTGGCACCAAATCTTCCTTTTCTCTCTGTGCTGTGGGCAGGGAGGTGGCTATGTTCCCTGCTGAATGATAAGGCCTGGATGGCCTTAGGACTTGCTGGAGCCTCTGTAAGGTGGGGGTGGGAAGGTTATTCTTGGATGTGCTAGGGTAGAGTTTCAGATTTGTTTATCCTTGTAGGAGGCACCTTGGGGCCAGGAGGGAGGCACTGACATTCAGATCACCTGGCTTGGAGGGGTCCCAGATTTCCTTATCTTGCTGTGTATGCATTCGGGGCACAGATGTATTTCTTCTAGGAAATTGGGGGAAAGGTGCTAGAGTACAGAGGTCCTCAGCAAGTTCAGGCCAATGAGCATACTGGCTGACACTGAAATACACTTCATACCAACTGGCCTGGGGATTGTGCAGGCCAGAGTCAGTACTATTAATATCTGGTGCATGAGCCCTAACTGGGTGATCCTCTTATACATGTGGCCTTGGCCTCTGAGTCTAGCATTGTGTTCCCTTAGTGCAGTAGGGCTCCTGGAGCCATCTAGCTGCTGTTCCCCACCCCCCTGTATATAGTAAGCTATTGCTGCCAGCCTAGGGGTCCAACCCCACCTAGATCTTCTGCTGTGCTGCCCACAGGAGTGATTCCACCCATGGAGGACTAGTTCAGGTGGCCAGAAATCCCAAGCTGTCCTTGGGAACAATAGTAATTCTAAGAGGTAGTAATACTCTAACTGCTAACACCTAGACCACACATACCTTATCATCCCACTGTCCAGGGACACCCACCTCTGTACCTACCTGCATCCTTGGCAATGAGCAGCCCCCTAGCTTACCCTGGCATCAGGATCTCAGGGTGCTGGACTCTTGGAGCAGAAGGCAGGTGAGTTGCAGCAGTCCCTGCTGATGAGAACCCCACTTGCCAATGATACTGATTATTCCTGACTTGTGTGTGATGCGTGTCCAAGGATATATGAAAACAAACAAGCTGGCAGATGCTCCTGGGAGCTGAAAAGTGTTCGGGGTTACAGATGTGTCTGGCTTGGGGTTATGGGTTATGGATAGTAGCATCTTGCATTTGCTGTGGTTCTTAATTCTGTTTGTACAAATGAACTTTTGTTATTGAGGCCAGAAGCTGCTTTGTCTGTCTGTGGGTGAGAGATGAAGTACCCTGTGCTCATTTCCTATCAAGAGGCACCTTTTGTGAGAAAGGGGCTGATGCCTTATCTCTGGCTTCAGGAGACAGCTATTAACTTTGAGTAGAACAGGGGGGGCTGGGCTTGGTACAGACACAGCATGAGGTGGATTTCTGGCAAAGCCCTCCCTGATCTGCTTGCAACTGGGCACATATCTTGGAAGGGATCTTCCCCAAGGTGGAGAAGAGTCACTGATGGGGAACTTAAGTTTCTCTAGGGAAGCTGGTACTGTGAGAATCAGGGGAATCAGGAAAACAGCCCCAGCCTGTTGCCTCTTTGTGTGTACTTGTGTTTACCAATGGTGGCTATGGCACAACCTACAGGCAGGCAGTGCTAGGAGCTTTATCAGGTTGTTTGGCCTCTTGTAAGTCAAATGCTCTGCATTGGAGTGGTTTACTCCCAAAAGTTGAGGGCAGCTCCCTGGGGGAATGTATAGGAGACCCAGTGGGAAGACAGAGGACCTGAATTTGTTTTTTGTTTACTGGGGCCTTCCAGAGCTACCCTGTGTACTGTGGTCATGCTGCCTCTAGGGACCAAGGCAAGGTTCCATTCTGGAACCCTAGGGAGTCTCTGCTCTTTCCTCTAGCTGCCCCCCCTCCCCCGCTCTTGTCCACAGGAAAGGTCAGTCCAATGGATAAGCTTCACAGATCCATTTGTTTACTGTGAATGGATTAGTATACTCGGGTGAGCAGCCAGTTACCCTCTGTCTGGGGATCTGGGGACCTCATTGTTTGTGTTTACAGTTGTCTGCCTTTTTGACTGAGCCATTCAGGTAGGCCTGAGTTGGGATGCAGGTGATGCCCCTTCAGTAAGCTCATCATTTCTTGATCTGTGTCCCCCTCACATGCTATCTATCCCTAAGACCCCTGACTGGCAGACTCAGGTCTAGGTATTCAACTGTGTTGTTTGTGCCTAGCCCATGCTCTGAGCTCCTGTGCTTGTCTCCAGAGCAGTGGAGGTGAGGCTGAACTTAACAGACTGACTAATTATTCCCTATGCTCATTCTCTGAGCTCTGGTAAGGATGCGTGGTATGAAACAAGCAGGTCCATTGTCTTTGTCCCCAAGGATGAATTGCAGTGTTTTCCTCGTTGGATACAGATGGGCTCTTTTCATGATGCTCACTTGTGTGTATGTTGTCCTGCACCTTTCAGAGCTGCCAGTATGACCAGTTACATGTTGGGTTTCTACTCATTCTTCCACTGCTTGTCCCCCACTCATGTGCACACAGCGGGAAATCTTCCTGGTTCTAAGAAGGATTATCAGCTGAGAACATAATTATTCCCAAACTGAGCTATCCCAGAGGCAGAAAGAAGCTTGCCTCAGACCACATCCTGGTTTATCAGCCCTGGGAAGCACCATAGTGAGTTGTGAGGCAGCAGTAACAGAGTTTCCCAGACAAACCCAACATCCGTTTTGATTGATATTTTTTTTTGGGGGGTGGGGTGGTTTGAGACAGGGTTTCTCTGTGTAGCTTTGGAGCCTATCCTGGCACTGGCTCTGGAGACCAGGCTGGTTTCGAACTCACAGAGCTCCACCTGCCTCTGCCTCCTGAGTATTGGGACTAAAGACATACACCACCACTGCCCTGCTAATGTCCGTTTTGATAAGAGAGCTTGTACTTGTGCTCTCCAGGGAAATCCAGATTATCATACTGGCATATTTGCTTTCAGGGCTACTGAGTACACACCTTTCTCACAGACATTGGCATGAATGTGCATTTGGGTGAGGATGTTTTGGGATATACTGAGAATCAGGCCCCAGACTTGTTATGTCCTCAGTCCCTAAGTGAGCATCTTTCATCTATTGATAGGCTTTTATGAAATGGAACCATATTTCATTATAGTATACTTTTCTTATCCAAGAGTGGCCTAGGGATACTTGTTCCCATCTGGACCTGCCAATCTGCCTTATTCACCTCAGGCTTACCTGGTATTCCATACAGTGTTCTTTCTCTTGTGGTACTCCAGACTATACCAGCCACTGCAGGAGGCATCCTATAAGGAGTTAGCCTGGCACATCCATCTGCCAGTCTATTGGCAGCCCTCCTACCCACCAGACACTATCCTGTATTGTCAGTGGCCATAGTTCAGTTTGATCCCACATGAGTGAGTCATGGCATGCATGGCTAAGCCACTGACTTGAGAGCTTCTTGAGTAAATTTGAAAGCTGAAGCTGGGATTGTGCGACCTACCCAGGTTTCCTTTCAGGCAGTAGCCAGAAAGTACCTCTGTTAAACACATCTCATTCTCTTAGCACTTTTAAAAATTATTTTTTTAAGATTTATTTTTATTTTATGTGCATTGATGTCTCACCTGCATGTGTGTCTGTGTGAGGGTGTCAGATCCCCTGGAACTGGAGTTACAGACAGTTGTGAGCAGCCATGTGGATGCTGGGAATTGAACCTGGGTCCTCTGGAAAAGCAGTCAGTCTCTTAACTGCTGAGCCAACTCTCCAGCCCTCTTAGTTGCATCAGGCTGTATCTCAGTACAAACGTCAGGTATTAGGAAGGTGATGCAGCACATTGAGACTCTGTAGAAGCTGCTTGTCTTAGTTAAGGTTTCTGTTACTATGAAGAGACACCTTGACTACTGCAACTCTTATAAAGGGAAATATAGACGAACATGAATGGAATCCGAGACAGGTTATTAACTGGTAATTTATTGGGGAGTTGTACTCACATGAGGAATCAGTAACCAGATTGGCACTCTGAACAGTCCAGTCCCAGAATGATTCCTAATGCTGGCTCAACACCCAGAGAGAGAGCGCCCAGCTCTCCTTCACACTTATCTATATCCTTCTACCTACCCACAACCATGCCCAAACAGGCGTGGTCAGCAGTACATATAATCAGGGTCTCTCCCTACAGGGAAACATTTAACTGGGGCATCTTACAGTTCAGAGGTTTACTCCATTATCGTCATGGCAAGAAGCCCATGGAGGCATGCAGGCAGACATGGTGCCAGAGAAGTAACTGGGAGTTCTACATCTGGATTCACAGGTAGCAGGAAGAGACAGTGAGCCATTAGCCTGGTTTGAGCTTCTGAAACCTCAAAGCCCACCCCCAGTGACATAATTTCTCCAACAAGGCCACACCTCCTAATAGTACCACTCCCTGTGAGCCTATGGGAACCATCTTTATTCAAACCACCATACTGCTCATTCTCAGATGTGAAAGCCATGTCCAGAAATGGCACCCCTTTAGGAATGCACATGTCACTAGGGTTCTGAGTGCCCATCTAGCATGAGTGATAGGCTATGGGCATACACAGTTACAGATCCACTTTGACCTTCTTTGGGTTACATTTCCCTCTGTTAGTCTCTCCTCTATCTTGGGTCACCACCTCAAACCACCACCATACACACATGCACAAACACACATCAGCCAAGGCAGGTGGCGTTTACAGACTGCTAGAAGTGTCTGACTTGGGAACACAGAAGGAGTCATAATGAGAAGTAGGTTCTTCATAGACCTTCTTGCCTTCTTTCCTACATTTCTTGACCAGGTGCCAGATCAGAGAGTCCCCCAGAGCATATCTTGCCACTGTCATGTGGCCAGTACATTGCACTCTTGCCTCATGGGGCACAACCACCCTGCAGGGCAGTAGTGGCTGGCTGGACTATCCAAAGAGTATGCTATGTTGGAGAGAGGGCACAGTCCTTAATGGGATCTTCTTTATCCTTGAGTATTCATTTCCTGAGACCGAGGCTCTACCCACTACAGTCCACAGAAGGGTAGGATTGTGGCTCTGAGATTGTGTATACCTCCTGTGCCCTCTTGCCATTCATTGCTGTCTGTTATCCTTGCTGTGTGAACAGTCTGAGGTCTTGTGCCCCCATTAACTCCATGGACCAGCGACAGGTATGTTTCTTGGGCACATTCTCCCCAGTTGAACCCATACTGTGCCTGTCCCACTTGGGCATGACCAGGGAGGTTGACAACTGTTGACTGAGGCTGAGCACATCCCTCTTCACAGCAGCAATGCAGGGTCCTTGGACAGACTACTCCCACCAGTGGGAACTGGGCGCTCACCCCGGAAGCGCACCACCAGCCAGTGCAAGTCAGAGCCACCCCTGCTTCGCACAAGCAAACGTACCATCTACACAGCCGGGCGGCCACCATGGTACAATGAACATGGCACGCAGTCCAAGGAGGCCTTTGCCATTGGTAATATCAGTGTGGGACAACGCCTTCGGGAATCAGTCTGCATGGTCAGCCCATCTATAACTAACCTTCTACCCACAGGCTTGGGAGGTGGCAGTGCATCTGGGAAGACCACTGTGGCCAGGATGATCATTGAAGCTCTAGATGTGCCCTGGGTGGTCCTGCTGTCCATGGACTCCTTCTATAAGGTGAGGCTCTGGTCATCTCCCCAGAGCACCTCCTTTCTATGACCCCTTTGACCCTACAAATGTAGGCCTGTGATCACAGGGCTTCATCATATTCCCCTAGGTTCTGACACAGCAGCAGCAGGAACAGGCTGCCTGCAACAATTTCAACTTTGACCACCCCGATGCCTTTGATTTTGATCTCATCATTTCTACCCTCAAGAAACTAAAGCAGGGCAGGAGCGTCCAAATACCCATCTATGACTTTACTACTCATAGCCGGAAAAAAGACTGGGTAGGCCCATGGTTTTGGGGCTCTGGAAGAGGCTGTAAGGACCTGAGCTAAACATTGAAACTGCCTGGATTCTTTTGCAGAAAACACTGTATGGTGCAAATGTCATCATCTTTGAGGGTATCATGGCCTTTGCTGACAAGACACTGCTGGAGGTGAGAGCTTTCGTGCAGTACCTACTCCACAGGCATTCCCATAAACAATTCCTTTAAACACTCTACCCCATCCCCACGGCCTCCATGCCCCATGCTCTCTGAGCAGATTGCTTCCTATCAGGTGCTTCTAGATGAGCCCTACCTGGTGTATACTAGACATGCACAGATGTTCTGCACCATCAGCTAACTGACTACTGCAGTGGGGGTATGGCTTCTGGGGACAATAGTTCCCTCTCCTACCTGCTAAGGGCTGTACTTCTATTTCCCCTGCTCTTGATATTCTTCCTTGTTGAGGAACAAACAAGGACTTAAAGCCAGTGAGTTTGAGCAAGGCCTCCAGGATATACCTGAATGTGACCCTGGCCCAGGCCAAGAGGACTCTTACCATGTCCACATGGCAGCTCCAGTCCCTACATGGCTCTTTCAGGGCCCACCTATCACATGCTGACTGGAGGAGGCCACACCCTGAGCTTACAAAGCCCCATTCTTGCAGTGTTCATGTGAGATATAATGAGTGAAGTCATGTATACATCACACTGCCAAGTCCCATTCCTGCCTGACTTGTCACTGTGTCCATTCTGTACCCCATGCCCACAATGCATCCCAATGCACACTTCCTATGGATGCACCCTACACACACTAATGGTTAGGCCAATAGGTGTCTTGTCGGCAGCTGGCCCCCATGATCATGGCTCCTATAGATAATGAGCTGATCATGTTGCCACTCTAGCTCTGTCGATCCTGGTGTCTATATGATGGTGTCACAGGTACCTACCTCAGCCCTGTGCACTGGCTTGTTTTCCCCACTTAGCTCCTAGACATGAAGATCTTTGTAGACACAGACTCTGATATCCGACTGGTACGGCGGCTACGCCGGGACATCAGTGAGCGAGGCCGGGACATTGAGGGTGTCATTAAGCAGTACAACAAGTTTGTCAAGCCTGCTTTTGAGCAGTATATCCAGCCCACCATGCGCCTGGCAGATATTGTGGTACCCAGAGGTGAGCCTGCCAGACTTGTCTTCCTGCCAGTGGGGCAGAAGGGCCAGAAGGCTTCTGAGTTATCCTCTCTTTCTCCCCCTCCAGGGAGTGGGAACACAGTAGCCATTGACCTGATTGTACAACATGTTCACAGCCAGCTGGAAGAGGTTAGCACTCAAAGTCCCTGTCTCTCTGTTGTCTCCCCCACAGCAGCATACTCACCCCACCTCACATACCCTCCAGGTACTGGCTCTCAAGTATTCTGAACCTACCCCCTGAGTTTATTTAAATGGTGCAGCCCTCTGTGATAGGCAAGGAGACCTGGCCATGCATGAAGGGTGCACTCCTATCCCAACCCTGGGAGAGTAACAAGGGTGGGTGACCCACTCTCCAGCAATGAGTTCCATCTTCCCTTCCTGAGTTACTCTACAAGTAATTTTTTCCCACTATAGGTCCCACATTAGGTGATTTATGGCTGGGCTGTAGTGTCTGGCTACAGTTCTGTCCAGGCACTACTACTAGCCCAGAGCCACAGGTCCCAGCCCAGCTTGTCCCAAGTTCAGAGGTCCTTAGAAACTTGCCTCTTACAGTTTGCAAACCCTGAGCTATTTCGACATGGTGCTGTGGAGTGTCCATCACTGGGGGTTGGGGGTAGCCTGGCTGCTTGCCCTGGTCACTGATGCATCACCCATTCCCTTGTGTCTCCCTGTGTTGCTGCCACAGCGTGAACTCAGCGTCAGGTAAGACTCACAACTCTCTGCACAGATGGAGGCATTTCCAACATCTACATTGAGCTCCAGGTCAGCTGTCACCTAGCCAAGCAGTCAGTCAGTCCATACCACAGGAATAGAGTGGTGCAGCCTAGTTGCTCCTTCCCTTGCTAGCATGCAAGAACACTAACATACAGAGAAAATAAGGAATTTTTCCAGGGTTTTTGTTTGTTTGTTTTGATTTTTTTTCAAGACAGGGTTTCTGTGTAGTTCTGGAATTGTTTCTATAGACCAGGCTGGCCTCAAACTCAGAGATCCGCCTGCTTCTGCCTACAGAATGCTAGGATTAAAGGCACATACCACCACCACCTGGCCTTTCCGAGGGTTATGTGGGGTTTGTTTGTTTTGTTTTGTTTTTCAATACAAGGTTTCTCTGTGTAGCTTTGGAGCCTATCCTGGCACTCGCTCTGTAGACCTGGCTGGCCTCAAACTCACAATGATCCGCCTGCCTCTGCCTCCTGGGATTAAAGGTATGTGCCACCACTGACCGGCCCAGGTTTATGTTTTACCTGTGCTGGCCAGATGTTCATAGAGGTTCTTTCCCCATAGAGCCTATCTTGGGGTCCAGTCACAGAGAACACAGCTGTCCTCCTAGGCCAACACTGCCACACACGTCCAAGACAGGGACTACACTGACATGTTCCTAGAATCATAAATAAGCCTGGGTCGTACTAGGCTGCTGTATCTTGTAAAATGAACCATCCTAGGGCCTTTGGGCTCAGCTGAATCTCCCTGGGGAGTGGGGAGTGAGAGCTTGGCTCTGCCTTTTCCACCCATGCCCTGCCCCATCCTAGCTTAATCTTCAAGCTGCAGCACAACTCAGGCAGAAGGAGCAATGCTGGCATTGCAGCAGGAATCTTGGATAGGCTGAGTTATGCCATTAACCATTGCTGATCGAAGTCCAGGCAAGAGCCACAGGTAGCACCAGGGACCTGCCCTTCTTCTACGCTTTCCTCAGAGTTGGGAAGTTCCAATTGAGCCACTGTGGGAGCCCTCTTGGTTCCACTGCATACCCCAGGAGTTCTGAGCCAGTGTTGGAAATGCCTCCAGGGCCGCCTAAACAGCCCTGCTTCCTGTCCTTGCATGAATCTCTGCTTGGCCTCACCAAGACCAGGGTGCCACAGACCTGTGCGAGAGCCTTTATAAAGCCTGAATTCTAAGAAAAATCTCCAGGCACAGCCAGCTTCACTTTCCATTTTCTGGTCAGCCAAGGAAGTAGTGGCTAAACCCTTTGGTCTCCTTCAACTCCAGGAAGTTACCGGTGAGCAGGAGGGGGAAATGTCTGGGTATAGGTGGTGCTCCACCCTCAAGCACCAAGGCTGTCAGTGCCAAGCCTCCTGACACAAGTCTTTAGCCATCTGGTAGCTACAGGGTACCTTCTGTAAGGACTTGGCTACTCTCCCCACTAAGTGTTCTTCTCTCTGTTCTTTTCCTCTCTGTAAACCTGTTTCCTGCCTTGTTCCCTCCCTGAACACGCTCTTCACCTGGCGAGCAGAGGAAGCTGCGTTGGGATATGTGAGCAGAGCAAGCTCTGATTGTGCTGCGCTGTGTGCCACCCCACACCCTGCACTGTTCCTGAACTTGTGCTTCAGTGACCCCTCCTTTCCATGATCACTGTTTGCACCCCCTAACCAGCCCTGCTTCCTTCTGCCTCACAAGTCCCTTGCCCCTTCCCTCTCCAGGCTTGGGTTTCGGGTGGAGTAGCCTTTGACATTGAGCCCTCCCTGTTTGGCCCTCCCTCCTGAGAGGGGCTGCATACTACCTGGGGGATGGGTCTAAGTGGAACTTGACCCTACAGCTTACATGTTGCTCCCAGGAGAAGCTGGGGAAAACTGTCCATTTGGAGGCTGGGATCTGTTCCCATAGTAAGCTCCCTTCTTCCTTTGTCTGGCCTCTCTACTTTATCTGAGCCTAGGAGGGGACACCTCATGGCTCAGCCCCTAGCATCCTCACTGAGACGGTGTTCAGTGTTCAGAATTGAGCTTTCTTACTTTTGCCTGGCATTTTAGGTAACAAGGCCTCTTTCATGGGTCAGCCATAGCCAAAAGACAGCTCCCACCCTGCACATGCCTGTCCCCATGGTGGTGTTCAGACGTCCTCTGGGGCAGACAGGGACTTTTGAATAAGATATGCCAATCAATTTGTATCTCTAGGGCTGCGCTGGCCTCAGCTCACCAGTGCCATCCCCTTCCCCAGACACTGAGTGTCCTCAAGAGTACCCCACAGGTACGAGGCATGCACACCATCATCAGGTAAGGGCCCACTTAAAGAGTGCTACCCCAAATTCTGCTCCACTCTACCTCCAGGTTCTGGCCCATCCCTTTCTAAAGCCTGCTTATTCTACCATCAGGGACAAGGAGACTAGCCGAGATGAATTCATTTTCTACTCCAAAAGATTGATGAGGCTGCTTATTGAACATGCACTGTCCTTCCTACCCTTCCAGGTGTGGATTTGTGGGATAAGGGGTAGAAGTAGTCCTGCCATCTTGATGTGGGCTTATGATGGAGGTTCAGCCCTGGCTGTTTATAGATACCCCAATTCACTATGCAGGACTGCACTGTACAGACCCCACAGGGGCAGGACTACGTGGGAAAGTGCTACGCTGGAAAGCAAGTAAGATGGCAATAGCTGCTGGGGTAGGAGGCTATAGGTTGGAGGCATCCAGCTTGCAGCTTACTCGGCCTCCCTTCCCTGCTAGATAACCGGAGTGTCCATTCTGCGTGCAGGGGAAACCATGGAGCCTGCGCTGCGTGCTGTGTGCAAGGATGTGCGCATTGGCACTATCCTCATCCAGACCAACCAGCTCACAGGGGAGCCTGAGGTGTCCAGCCAGGGAGGGCTGAGGGTCACAGTCATGCCCAGTCCTTGGGGAGAGTGAGGGGCTCAGAAGCCTGATGTGGGGGCCCTACTCTGACCTTACTATCCATTATAGCTCCACTACCTGAGACTTCCCAAGGATATTAGTGATGACCATGTGATCCTGATGGACTGCACAGTATCCACAGGTGCTGCAGCCATGATGGCTGTACGTGTACTCCTGGTAAGTGGACTTGGGTGGGTTGCAGGTAGGTTCCCTTGGTGTTGGAACTTCACCTGTCCCCATGCTACACAGGACCATGATGTGCCTGAGGACAAGATCTTCTTGCTATCCCTACTCATGGCAGAGATGGGTGTGCACTCTGTGGCCTATGCATTCCCACGTGTGAGAATCATCACCACAGCTGTAGACAAGCGTGTCAATGACCTTTTCCGTATCATCCCAGGCATTGGTGAGACTGTCATAGCCCAGGGGCATGTCTGATGACCCGGGAGGACCCAATCACACAAGGCTATTTCTTTTTGCAGGGAATTTTGGTGATCGCTACTTTGGGACAGATGCAGTCCCTGATGGCAGTGATGAGGAAGAGACAGCCTCTATGGGTTAGTTCCCAGCCTGAGCTACTCTTATTTCTCTATCCTGCCTCCTGGATTGTAGACAGCACATTAACTTATTTGAATTTAAAAATGTTACCTATGATATTTAGTTTTCACATTTTATAAAATAAATAAAGCTCCAAAAAATGAAGGTGTGGCACAATGTATTCTGGGTGGGCTTGGCAGATGCCAAGGTGTATGTAGTAGTTTGAATAGGTATGGCCCCCATAGACTCGTGTGTTTGAATGCTTGGCCCAAAGGGAGTGGCAATATTAGGTGGTGTCTCCTTGTCAGAAGTGTGTCCTCTGTGGGGGTGGGCTTTGAGGTCTCAAGCTACATCAGTACACAGGCTCCTTCTGCTGCCAGCAGAACAAGATGTAGAACTCTCAGCTACTTCTCCAGTACCATGTCTGCCTGCATACTGCCATGTTTCTCACCTTGATGATAATGTACTAAACCTCTGAACTGTAAACCAGGCCCAATTAAATGTTTTCCTTTGTAAGAGTTCCTGTGGTCATGTGTCTCTTCACAGCAACAGAAACTCTAAGACAGGAGTTGAGAATGAGGAGAAAGGTCTAGCTTCTGTCCAGTGGGACAAGGTATTCTCATTCCTGCATTCTACTTTCCTTACAATTGAAGCTTATTCATTCATTGCCTGATGGAGATAAGGGAAGAAGTGGGGCCTCCAAAGGAACCACACAGCTCAGTGCCCACATGACCTGGACCCAAAGACAGGGCTACCTAGGGTTCTGAGTGTTATAGGAGGCAGCCTCTGTGACCACTTTCTCCCAACCACATTTATACTACCAAGGGACCCAGAAGAAGCTGGTGTGTGGGAAGCTATGGCAAGGACTAAGCTATGGATGACTCAGCTCCATGATGGTCAGAGCCTCAGGTTTTCAGAACCAAAATCTCACATCCAGCCCTGCCTCACTGCTACCAGACAAGCTTCTCTGGAAACTGCTTGTTTACTGTCATGTTGATTCTATCCCAGTGACATGACAGACATACACATGGACAGCTAATTGGATATGAACTGTGGATCTCTGAACTGTGACAGGTAGGCTGGGAGCCCCCAAACTCTGTTCCAGCTTGGTGTGTGCATTTTTTCTGCTTGTCATGAGATGGGGACAGGAAGTTGTTGGGCAGAGGCCAGTCTACAATGGTGAAGAGATAAGGTGAGTGGTTCGCTCAAGGGGCAGCTAGGCCCCTTGAGTGCAGAGGACCAAAGAAGAGGTCAGGAAGACCTTCTCTGTAACAGGTAAATGGATCCTCTTTCAGGTCTCCAGGCTCTATCCAATGGTTCATTCATTCCTGCACTTTATTGCTGAGAAACTGAAGAAAGACTATTCTATTCCTTCCAGTCAGGTTTTCCCAAATGAGGAATTTAGGAATACCATGAGAAGTTAGGTAGGAGCCAGGTACTTCGTAAGAGGGCTCTACCCAAGTCCAACCAGGATGATTGGTTCCTGAGAACAAATCATACCAATACAAGTGAGATAAAATCCAGCTACTTTAGCAGGGTATGAGGGACTAACAGGTTCTTTTCTTCATTCCGGACAAGGCATTTAGAAATGAGGTATTGGAACTGAGGGGAGGGGTGTTCACAGCTAGACCAGGAATGAGAAAACGAGGCCTCAGCCCACAGGGGACCCAGCAGGGGCCAACATCAGGTGCCATTTCAGTGCCAAATTCATGAACAGAATTAGGCAGGAATCACTAATAAGACACACATCTGGTCTGCAGTGAAAACATTTATTTTAGGTCAACATTTAGACAGGTCACCATGCGGAACCACCACAGCTTTCAGCTTGGCCCTTGGAGGTACGCCAAAGTCAGTTAGCCTGGGGGGAGGAGGGGCAGACAGCAGCTTGTATTCTGCTGTATACAGACTTCAGTTGTGGTTAAAATTAGTACAGCTTTCCATGCACTTGCATTCAGCTCTTAAAAATTATCTTTAAGTGAAAATTTGTTCCCCCAACTTAGCATGAAACACTAACCTAGAAAATTATCTACCAGCAGCACAGCCTATGGGCACTTAGGCAGGGCCTTTTCTTGACTGCAGAAAACCCCTGCCCAGGCTACCCTTTACATGCACCTTGGTCACTGATTTTAACGGGTGCTCATAAATTGGTCTCAAGTTTTTCAAGAGAGGAAAGCTTCTAGACCTCATATATTTGAGGGTCGGGTAAGTTTGTTGTGGTCCCCAGGAATATTATTTGATATGGTCACCCTTGTGCCCAACATACATATTTGAAACCAAATGCTGGCCAGGGCCTATGTAGTGCATTCAGGTACATGTACCTATATGTACACAATAAGCTTAGGGTTTTCCTTTTGTGTTTTGCCAGGAGACCCTACCCCTGCCCAACACTCCAAGAAACCGCAGGCTGTTTTGGAGCCGACTTTTATTGTACTTGTTGCTTTGCCACCAAACAGCAGCATGACAGGCCTGCTGCGTGATATATACATATACACATATGTACACACACCAACACATACCATAGCCCACATTCACAGCATATGACAACACATACTGTGCTTGTGAGGATAGTAAGATGTAGCTTTTGCTATTTCCATAGGAGGATAACTCAACCAAAGTAAAAGGAACAGGCCAGTGCTGGGACACATGGGTTCACAGCTCAAAACACTGGGAAAAGAATGAGATCAGTCATGTTTTACATTGTTCACAGCTATCCCTCAATAAAAGGTGCATTAAAGGCCAAAGAAAGATGGTCATGGCCCACCAGTTCTCCATACCACAGCACCTAGACCCTCCAGGGACAGCTTGAATGATTGGGTCACCATCTCTGGAGACTACCAGCTACAACAATGGCATCTCCTTTGGACAAGGTTCACCTGGAATAAAAGCCATGGGTCAGCAGGACAATGGGCACTGATGGTAGTAAAAACCTGGCATCTGAACATCTGAGAAAAGACTGTCTTTATGATTCGGGAACAAACCCAGAAACCAACAACTTGGAAAAGTTTCCTGCTAACCACAGTAAGCACTGATTTCTTTTTCTAACAGGTCCTAGCTGGGTGCTAGCTGTGCTAACCAAACATCAGAAGACTAGGAAGGGTTATAAACATTGCACAGAATTATCTAAAGTAATTTAAAAATACAGTCAAAAGGAAGACAAGGAAAGACCACATCATTGGGAACAAACAGAAATCTACATTCTAGCCTTGGTGAGATGGGTCCCCAGGGTCTCTCAGATGTGGTCAGTTTCTGGTCCTGAAGGGATATCCACTGCACTGGATGAAGTTCCATGCACAGACTCCAGCACTCCCTTGGCAATACACCACAGCACCATCTACATTGCCCACCAGTATAGGAGTTTGGGGAGTGTGTGTGTGTCTTTATATTTAATAGTATTTGGTCAGGAATAGTTAGGCTGATCCTGAGACTCACCAGTTATGCTTAGGTCAGGGCAAATAAAATCAAGGAGACCTTAGATCAACACAGTAAAAACCCTGAAGGGAGTCTGCATACAGGGATAGGTCAGGGAGTTCACTGGCCTTGGCAATCACTATTATCACCTTGAAACTGTTCGACATATTGATGGTTTCAAGTTCAACATGATTTATTTAGCTTTACAAGTTCCAAAAGACACTAGGTTCAACTTCTGTGCTCTCACCTAACAGCACAAGTCCCAGTTCAGGACCTGGCTCACTAGGATGTGAGGGAAAGGCCACAGAGCCACATGCAGGAGGGACATGCTACCAGATGGCAGCTCTCTACTCATCAGTTACCTATGGGCACCAAGACCTGCACCCCAGATTACCCAGTGGCCTCTCTTCTTCCACCATTTCAACAATGGGTCCAGCAACAAATTTCTCATTCTCCTACTATGTTTGTTTGAGTCGGGGTCTTACTGTGTAAAGCCTGACTTGCCTACAACTCAAGGTCGTCCTACCTCAGTCTCCCTAGTGCTGAGATTACAGGCATGTCCCACTACATCTAGCCATAGATCTGATGTTTGCAAATTATTTCTGAGTATGTTAATGAATATCCCTAAAATCCTTTAAAGAACAAAACAAACCAATAAGACCAGGGAAGGACCTTGACTCCAGCTTTTGGCTCATATAGTTCTCCTATAGGGTCAGCTAGGAATCCTGGCATCATTGTTTCCCGGGACCTGGACAGGTACCCACAAACACTGCCAGGTTTGCTGCCTCTTCTTGCAACTTCCTGTCAGCCTGATCTGGTCCCTGAAGGCCCTGGTGAGCTGTGGTCAGGAGGTGGACAGGGTGGGTTTCGGAAACACATGGTGGTTTGTCTGAGCCACTGAGCCACCACATGGGCCTTCTCCTTCTTCATCTGTACTGGAAATGCAGATGGTCAGCAGCAGCCAGCAGGAAGGCTCTGGAGGAACCTGGCTCATTGGAGTCTGGTGTAGCTAATCCAGCTAACTGTAAAAGGGTGGGGTGGTTCCAAATCCCTGGTAACCATGTTTTCCAACTCCACCCACCATGGTACCCTGTGACCAAGACTGAAATACTGACTAGAGAGAGGTTCACAAAGAAATTCTGTGGCCTGCAGTTGGCATCTCAGGCCGAGTGACTGTTACCATAGCTTCCCTAGTAGCCAACCCTTCTGATCCAGGGTCACCAGGGACCAGTCACCTACCCCAGGAACCCAACACTTCAGCTCTGGCAGAGGCATGATGATGACAAGTGGAAGCGAAGGCAAGTGGGGGATGGATGGAGCTCTGGCAAGCACAGGGCACTCAAACTCTTTATAAGCAGCTATATGCCACCCACAACTGGACTCCAAGACTTTCTGACTATGACTAAGTGACAGGTGCTACCATTTGTGGTTCTTAAAGTCCAAAAACAAGATTAAAAAGGTTGGCTTGAAGGAATGTGGAAGATGACCCAGGAATGAGGGAAGGAGGCTGTGGCCCCGTCAATCCAGCTTTTGACCTGGAAAGGTGCAGAACAGAGACAAATGATTTCCCACACACCAGCAAGGGACATGCCTCCAATGATAGGATCTCAGTCCACAAGGCCAGGAGACCCAAGATAGAAACATTACACAGAGTGTGCTCCCACTTTCAGAAGGGGCATACCTGCACTCTCCATAGCAGATCTAACACAGGAAAACTGTCACGAGGCCGAGTGATGATGCAGAGACCCTATGAAAGCTTCCCAACACGAACACTGTGCAAACGACTGATGCTGGTGGTGCCTGGGAGGATGGGGCCCAGCTCCCTCCTTCGCAGGTGAAATCAGAACCCTGTCTGCAGCCTTGAGGATGAGATCAGAGCCATGGACTAGACCATGTCACAGGACACAGAGGCCAACATGGAGATGTAGCTCCAGGTGCCTACCTGACTCCTGTAAGCACAAGGAGACAGCTGAACCTCACTGGACTCACTTGGCTGAAAACCCAAGAAAGCACTACCATCCAGTTAATTCAGCCCAGTTGTAGCACATCCACAACACAGACACTGAACATAACCCATACATGCTATTAAAAAAAGGATAAAACAGAAGAAGACCGTAGCTACACTGCTTTAAATACTGCATGCTACGCACTTCGTGTATCAAGGTTTGACAGATGAGTGGGCTTAGAGGAGGTGGGAGGGACCCTGACCAGCCACAGCAGGTCAGGTTGACGGCTGCCTCCCCATCTCAGTGACTACAGTTCATGATTCTAAGGTTGCAGTGGCCAGGTGCTGATTCATCCTCTAATCACAGCCTCTCCTGAATTTAGTTGAACCCGTCGGTGTGGTAGCTGGGGTGGGAGTCAGCCGTCAGCTGGGTGGTCTCTGTGGCAGATGCCGGCTGTATGACGATCGGCGTGTCTGTAGCCTCTGAAAAGTAAGCAGGCAGCCTCATGGCACAAGGGTAGCAGCCGTATGTGTGCCCATCGACATGGTCCTTGCATCACGTCATTCGGCCACCTGGACAGACACTCAGGGGAGAGGCTACTTGCTGACCTCCACCCAACACAACACACTTTCCTCAGCAGTCTTAGGTCAACCAGCCCCCGGCCCTCCCCACCTGCCTGTCACCCTCCCAGCCTTTAGTCCCTCAGATCTACGGCTACCAGAGTTTGCGGGCAGGAACAGCTCCCTGCACCTGCTTTACCTCAAGTGTCCACGTTCACACCTCAACAGTCCCAGATGCCACCACAAACACTCTCGGCACAGTGTCAGTGCCCTCCTGTTTGACAAGACAGTTGACACTGTTCAGGGCCAGTGCTGGCTCCACCCCACACACTCACAAGGTCCTGGGGTGGGCACTCACCCCTCTCATCAGACTGCAGCTGTGCCTCCAGGTCTTCAGGCGATACGTAGAATTCTGTCTCCTCACCCTCAGGTGCCTTGGGCTTGCACTTTCCACAGCAGCAGTTAAAGCAACAGCACAAACAGCAGCAGCAGTAGCAGCACGTGAGGAGGCCACAGACAACGAACAGGGCCTGAGAAAGAGAATACTGGCACTGTACAGCTTCAAGGGCCCATAGGCCATTAACAAGAACCTCCCTAGAGAAGACAGGACAAGAGCTACAGAATATATGGCTTATGCTAAGGGTATCTTTTAGGAGAAGGCTACAGAGTAAATCTGCAGGGTAAAGGCAAGAAAAATAGAGCAAGAAGTCATATGTAAAGATGGGATTGAGCACAAGCTGCCATGAGGTTCTATTGAGTTTGCCTGTCTTTCTGAACCCAGAAAGGCTTAACTTTGTCTTATTGTTCTCTTCTATTTCTTTTCTGTCCAGATGTTGGCTAGAGCCTAAGTGTATGCTTTCTCTAGTACTTTGGGCACCTTAATCTTTCTCTGAAGTCTCACCCCCAACTTTCTGCAATATAGCTGTGTACTGGACTGCAATGTATCTGACCTCCATGCTAACTCAAATGGCATGGCTCTCTCCCTCTTAAATTCCCACCTATAAATCTATAATGAATTTCTCTCTAAAATTATAAAGATTGAAGACTAATCAGTAAAAGCCAAAATCAGGCTTCCTATACCTAAGGGCTATGGGACAGACTACTCTGACTTTGTATATGACTGACAGACAAGGAAAGCAGAAATTAAAATAAATTAAAAATAAAACAAACTAAGTCACTCTAAAGTGAGATTTTTAAGTCTCCCCTGATAAGAAAAAGGCTCCTCACATCATGATGAAAGAATTGTTTCCTATCTCAATCGTTTTAGTAACTTGGTACCATGCTTCAGAGAAAATCAGGTCAATGCAAAATGGTTTTGCTCCATGTACACTGTGCACTGTGCCTGCCATGAATGTGCTAGCATGCCCAGTTACACAGCACACAGAGGACAGCTCCAGACCAGAAACCACGCTAAGAGAAAGGAGGCATCAACCTTTCAGCATCTATAGTCCTACTGGCACTAGAATTTTCAATGCCTTCAGTGTGGCAGCCCACTATGACTGCTGCTCCATCCTCACCTTGGCCCACCAGCTGGAGAGTACGAAGTAGGTGTTGACGTTCTCCTCCCCAAATTGCTCGGCCACATAGAGCCCCAGGGAGCCGTACTTGTCATAAATGTTTCTTTTCGTGGCATCTGTCAGGATGGCGTGGGCGTTGTTAATCTCCTTAAACTTGTCTGCAGCCTCTGGGTTATCAGGGTTCTTGTCAGGGTGATATTTCAGGGCCAGCTTCCTGTAACCAAAACCATTTCCTGGCTCTACCTTGGTCTTGCATTTCACAATTCTCTATCAGAGTCCAAGGGAAGAGATGCTCACCCATTAGCATTTCTATTTTCAACTTTCCAGAGATCTGGCTCATCATAGTGAAAAAGACAGTCTCTGTAATTGCTTTAGGGTAACCCCCCTACTAGGATACACTCACAAGGGAGAGTCCTGAGGTACTAAGGGTACTGACTCCTGCTTTCAAAGGAAAATCTACTGCCAACTCCTAGCATCTTGGCCAGTTAACTGCATATCTGACAAATTAGGTGATGACAGAGAAGTGTATAATAATGACATTCTAGGACAACACAAATAGAAAACCATAGGAGTGTCTGAGATGAAGATTCCCCAGTTCCCCTTCTACGTTACCATGTAACACTGCACCTAAAAGCTATATTCTTCAAGTCCAGTCAAACAGCCATGACAGGAAAAAACAAAAAACAACAACAACAACAACAAAAAAAAACCAAAACCACCCTCACCATTTTGTTAAAGTACAGTATTTAGCACAATAAAGGCTCTGTCTATGCCCAGGGTGCAAATCCTGATGCTGTGGTCTGAGGATAGTTGGCAATATCTTACAAATGTGCGTATTTTCTTGCTGCGAGAGAACACCAGTGTAACAGGGTTTGTTTGAGAAAGGGCCTCTCTACATAGCTCTGGTTGCCCTGGAACTCAGTATGCAGACCAGGCTGGCCTGAATACACAGATACACTTAGCCCTCTGCCTCCCAAGTGCTAGGACTAAAGGAATGCACCACCATGCATGGCCAGTATAACAGTTTTAAGTTTTAGGATTAAACTATACATGTAAGGATGAAATGCAACTGCCGGGAGTCTGCCAAGAAAAACATACATCATGGTTCTTGATAAACTATATAAGAAACCAGATGAGGATCTATCTGTGTTTTTCCTTGGAACACAACCGCTTACCGATAGGACTTTTTAATGTCATCCGAGGTTGCATTCTTGTCCAGCCCAAGAACATGATATAATGATTCCCCGGAGGTAGACAGTGAGCGCTGCCTCTGGTCAGCCATGTTAGATTAATCTACAAGAGAAGATAAAGGAAAATATGGAGAAAAATTCAAAACCTGGGCCAACAAGATGATCAGTGGATAAGGGCACTGTTGTCATGCCTGACAAGTTAGATTTGAGTCCCACAACTCATATGGTAGAAGAGGAAAGTACAAATTCAACTGAGCCTGTATATCCATCTTTTAATATAACCCCTTATTTGTAACCTTCAAAGTATCTACCTTTTTGAAGGCACCAGATTGAATCTACCTATAATCCTGAATGATTTCGAGTGGGGACAAGAAGATGAAGAGTTCAAGATTAGGATGCACAGAAGACTGTCTCAAAAGTCTTCTCATTTCAAGGCTGAAAAAACAACCCAATTAGGAGGAAAAGAGAGTCTCAAGAGCATGAAAAAGAGTCAAATATAACACCCATTCCCACTATAAGAACCTCACAAAAACACCAAGCTGAGCCATAACATACACACACAGGAGGACCTGGTGTAGAATTATGCAGGCCTTGTGCTTGCCATTTCAGTCTCTGGGAGCCCATTTGAACCCTGCTTAATTGAGTGGACCATGTTCTCCTGGTATCCTCCAAATCCTCTGACTCCTAAGTCTTTCCTCCCCCTATTCCGAAAGGAGGGATGCAATGGAGATCTCCAATTTATAGACTCCTCTCCGAATATCTGGCTGTGGGTCTCTGCACTGGCTGACTCCCCATCTGCTACTGGAGGAAGCCTCTCTGATGACAAATGGACAAGGCTTCCATTTATGAGTATATCAGAATATCATTAGGAATCACTTCATTGATTTTTTTTTTTTTTAAAGTTTGTCTGTCTGGTTCTACTCTATATCTCTGTGCTATCCAGTTCCAGTTCAAGTTAAACCAAATACTGGTTGACCACTCCCTCAAGTTCTATGCCACCACTCCCCAGGACATCCTATAGGCAGGAAAGGTTGTAGGCGAAGATTTTAGTGGTTGGGTTGTGGTCCCAGTTTCTTGCCACTGCTTGCAAAGTGCCTTCTCATATGGAAGACTAGGGGTAAGGCTCCAAGCCCACATCAGCTTGACCTCTCTATATTCAGGGTGCTGTGTGGAAGTCCTTGGCAATGGGGCTCTTCTTCCAGTTTTCAGAGAGTGACCTTCTGTCTTAGCATCAGCTGGCATTTAGAGATCTCTACTGGACCTCTTCAGCCAAAAACCAACCAAATGTAACCCAGTCCCACCACTGGAAGCCTTGCCTGTCTACAAAAGACAGACAGTTTAGACTCTACGTCCTCCATTATGAGGTGTCCTCTCTGGTGCCATCCTCACAGATCTTAGGAAGTGTTGCAGAATATTCCTTTGCACTGTGTGAAGATGTTTCACTGTTTGGTTTTATAAAGAGCTGAATGGTCAATAGCTAGGCAGGAGGCATTAGGTGGGACTTCTGGGGACAAGTAGGACTCAAAGAAAGGGTGGAGAAAGCAGTATGGAGAAATGAGGAAATGAGCCACACAACAGAACATAGGTTAAATTCAATGAGTTAACAATAGAACATAGGTTAAAATCAATGAGTTAATTTAAGTTGTAAGAACTAGTGGAAGCCGGGTGTGGTGGCGAACTCCGGAAGCACAGGCAGGAGGATCTCTGTCTGGTCTATAAAGAGAGTTCCAGGGCAGCTAGGGCTGTTACACAGAGAAACCCTGCCTCAAACCCCCACTCCAAAGAGCTAGTGGGAGAAGCTGAAGCTAAGGCCAAGCTTCCATAATCAATCTGTCATTATTTGGGAGCTGGCAATACAAAAAAAAAAAAAAAAAAAAACCCAACTTGCTACAAGGAAGTTTTCACTTAACTAGGTTTCCACACCATTCTGCAAGTGTCCACCAATTCCAGGTGTCCCTCTCCCAGCACTCTCTTTCTACATCTCTACCCCCCAACTGATCCCTCCCACTTCCAGTACAACCACAGAATCTATTCTATTTCCCCTTTCCCAAGGAGATCCATGCTTCCTCCCATAGTCATCCTCTTTATCTAATCTGTCTGGATCTCTAGATTGTAGTTTGGTTATCATTTACTTAACAGTTAATATTCACTTATAATATATGCCACATTTGTCTTTCTGGGTCTGGACTACCTCACTCAGGATGATTTATTGCTAGTTACATCCATGTGCCTGCAAATTTCATGTTGTCTCCCTGCCCCCAATGTGCTGAGTAATACTCTACTGGGTAAAATTATCTCATTTTTTTTATTGAGTCTTCAGTTGTAGGACATCAAAGTTGTTTCTAGCTATTATGAATAAAGCCACAATGAGGGCTGGAGAGATGGCTCAGTGATTAAAAGCAACGACTGTTCTTCCAGAGGTCCTGAGTTCAATTCCCAGCAACCACATGGTGGCTCACAACCATCTGTAATGGGATCTGGTGCCCTCTTCTGGTGTGCAGATATACATGGAAGCAGAATGTTGTATACATAATAAGTAAATAAAATCTTTTTTTCTTTAAAAAAAAAAAGCCATAATGAACATAGTTGAGTCCTTGTGGTAGGATGGAGTATTATTTGGGCATATGCCCAAGAGTGATACAGATGGGTCTTGAGGTAGATCAATTCCCGATTTTCTGAGCAACTACCATATTGATTTCCATAGTGGTTGTATAAGTTTGCACTCCCACCAACAATGGAGGAGTATTCCCTTTGCTGAACACCCTCACCAGAATGGGCTGTCACTTGTATTACTGATCTTAGTCACTCTGACATGTTTAAGACAGACTCTAAAAAGTAGTTTTGATTTGCATTCCCTTAAGACTAAGGACAGTGAACATTTAACTATTTCTCAGCCATTTTTTAATTCCTCTATTGAGAATTCTATTTAGATCTGCACCCCCATTTTTACTTAATTTTTTATTATCTAGTTTCTTGAGTTCTTTACGTATTTGGCTATTAGACCTTTATCAGATATGAAGTTTGTAAAAATCTTTTCCCATTCTGTAGATTGCCTCTTTGCCTGACTGATGATATCCTTTGCCTTATAGAAGCTTTTAAGTTTCATGAAGTCATATTAATTACTGATCTTAGTGCCTGCACTATTGGCATTATGTTTACAAAGATGTCTCTTGTGTCAACGAATTCAAGGCTGCTCCCTACTTTCTCATCTATCAGGTTCAATGTGTCTTTATTTATTTATTTATTTATTTATTTATTTATTTATTTATTTATTTTTAGGTTTATTTACTTATTATACATACAGTGTTCTGCCTGTATGTATGCCTACAGGCCAGAAGAGGGCATCAGATCTCATTACATATGGTTGTGAGCCACTATGTGGTTGCTGGGAATTGAAAATAGAACCTCTGAAAGAGCAGTCAGTGCTTCCAACCACCAAGCCAGCCTTCCAGCCCTGTTTGGTTGTTTTTTTAAGATAGGGTTTCTTTGTGTAGCCCTGGAACTCACTCTGTAGACAAAGCTAGCCTCAAACTCACAAAGATCTGCCTGCCTCTGCCTCCAGAGTGCACCACCACCACCCAACCAGTATGTCTGGTTTTATGATGAGGTCTTTGATCCATTTGGACTTGAGTTTTGTGCAGGGCTGATAAATACGGATCTATTTTCATGCTTCTACATGCTGACATCCAGTCTGGCCAACACTATTTAGTTGAAGATGTTTTCCACTCTTTCCTTTTGGTTTTTCAAGAGACACAATTTTTCTGGCTTATTAGATCCATTTGCTTGAAATGTCTTTTTCCAACCTCCTACCCTGAAGCAATGTCTATCCTCCATGTTGAGGAATATTTTATTTTCTCCATTTATAGTAATTGAAAAAGTTTTGCTGGGTAACCTGGGCTGGCACTTCTTGCCTTTTTGGCTTTTAAAGTCTCCACTGAAAAGCAGGTATAATTCTAATAGGTCTGGCTTTATGTTACTTGAAACTTTTTCCTTTGCAGCTTTTAATATTTTTTTCTTGCTCTGTATATTCTGTGTTTTACTGTGTGAGGGGATTTTCTTTTCTGGTCCTATTTGGTGTCTGGATGCTTCTTGTACCTTTATAGGCAACTCCTATGAATTTTCACCTATGATTTTGTTAAAAATATTTCCTAGGCCTTAGAGTTGGTATTCTCCTTCCTCTTTCTATTATTCATAGATTTGGTCTTTCATAGTGTCCCAGATTTTCTAAATGTTTAGTGCCATTTAGCATTTTCTTCTACCAATACATCCATTTCTTCTATTGTATCTTGAATGGCTGAGATTCTGTCTTTTGTATTTTGTATTATGTTGGTGATGTTTACTTTCCTAAATTTTTCATTCCAAGGATTCTCTCGGTTTGTGTTTCCTTTATTGCTTTTATTTTCATTTTTAGGTCTTGAACAGTTTTGTTTCCTTCAACTATGTGTTTTCTTGGCTCTCTTTGAGGGATTTATCCATTTCCTCCAACTGCTTGTGTTTTCCCTATAATCTTCATATAGTCAGTTTTAAGGTCTTTTTTCTTGTGCCTCAGCTATATTGGAATACTCAGGACCTGCTGTAGTAGGATAGATGGGCTCTGATAGAGACATTTCCCTGGCTGATATAGTGTTCTTGTGCTGGTGCTTAGGCATTTGGGTTTGGGATGATTATAGGTCTAGGTGCTGATTTCTGGGTTCATCTTGGTTGGGTGGGAGTTTTGTTCCTTGGTTTTCTAATTCCTCTCTGGATTTTTGGAGAGTATGTTGGCTGGGTGTTGCCGGTTTTACTTGTCTGCTCAGCTACTGTGCTCACAGGGAAATGCTTATGGGTGTTTGGAGGCTGATCTTCTGGCACCTGAGCTGGGGCTGGGTCACAGCAATGAGGCAGAAAGAAATGGCCATGGAGGGATGGTCTGCAGAAGCTGGGGTGGTGGGGGAAGAGGCATGCTCTCGAACACACACCCTGGTATTGTGTTACAGTGCTAGAGAACTGGGTCAGGGGTAATAGAGAATGGAGAAGGTCTGAGGGCAGATTACCTGAGACATTTTTTTTTTTTTTTACAAAGGCTTTTGTTCTTAGTAGCAATAAAAAAGTAACCAATATAGC